ATCTTAATATTATGCCATATCCATAAAACATTAAGAAGTATTTTTTGAATGGGTCTTTAATTTAGTCTGCAATTTTTATGTGTCTACTCTGTCCTAGGCACTAAGACTTAGGGATACATAAATACATAAGTTCTTAGCCTTATGTAGTTAAGAATCCCGATCTGTCAAGAGTGAAACAGTATGAGAAGTAGTATATTAGGGATAAACTCGGGACTTAGGAAAATGGAGAAGTGACCTAATCCAACCTGAGTGTGGGAGGTCAAGGAAAACATCCTGGGAAAGGCCCAATCCCATAGGATGAGGAAGGTACTTTTAAAATAATATATAGTTTGGTTAAGGGAAATAAATCCTTCTGATTTTTAATTTTTATTTACTTAGCAGGGGAAAATTATAATGAGATTGAACATTAATCACAGTTTTTTTGTTCTATCTTCTCGTTTCAGGGTCAGAAGGGAAAGCCTCTATATTCATTATCTAAAAAATGGGGCTCTTTTTTTACTGATTCCATTTCGGGACTGGAAAATACAGAAGACTCTTTGGTTTCTACGTGGTCCTGTAAGAGAATCAGTACTTACAGCACTATTGCAATTCCAAGTATTGAAGCAATAGCAGGTAAAGGGGAAAATATTTTATTTTGATTATATTTTTAATTGATTTCAGAGAGGAAGGGAAAGGGAGAGATGGAAACATCAATGCTAAGAGAAAATCATTGATTGGCTGCTTCTCACACGCCCTCACTGGGGTTCCAGCCCGCACAACCTGGGTACATGACCTCCTGGTTCATATGTCAATACTCACCCACTGAGCCATGCCAGCTGGGCAGTAACTTTTATTTTTAAGGACTGTGAAGATTATTAGTTTTCATTTACCAATTACATGATCCCCTGAGTAGGGCCTGATTTTTAAATTTAAAAAACAGATGACTATCCTTATTTTATTTATTAACTTTTGTGCATGGAGGGTATTAAAATTAAACTTACTAGTTTGAGTTCTGAAGATGATTTACAATATCTCTAAATGTAATTTGACTTTAATATTTTAAATTTTATAGGGAAAGACATCTATACTCTTCATCGTAGGTACAACCTATCCAGGTGACAAAAGAGATATTAAACTTATTAGACTCTAAAAAATAAGTTTTATTATCAATGATTATCAAATATTGATGTTTATATTTATGAAAGGCTTTTTGAGATCTGCAGAATAATCTAATTGTGTGTTTTTTCCCCAGAATTACCCTTGGACTACAAATTTACAAGATTCTCTTCAAACAATTCAAAAACAGCTGGCTACTATCCAAACCCTCCAGTGGCCTTATCAAGTTTTGAAACATTGACAAACAAATAACTTATCTTTACTGAAATATGAAGTGAAGAACCATATATGCAGCAAATGTACTGTAAAACAAATACTGTAAAATGCTTTATAGGAACAGATTCTTAATGAAAATTGATTAAGAAATTGATGTTTTTCCATAGTTCCTCTTTCTACAGATGTCCAACAACTCTCATTTTATCAAAATCTCAGTGTCTTTGAACTGAAAAGAACTTTACTAACATTTTGTATACCAATAGTCCTGAGATTAGAATTCACCTGGGACACACATACACACACATATTTACACCTAAGCCTAAGCCAATGGCTCTCAAAGTGTGGTCTCTAACCACTAGCATAGCATCACCTGAGAATATGACAGAAATGCAAATTTGCAGGCCCCACCCCAGACCTACAGAATTAGAACTCCGGAGGTGGGACCCGGCAATCTGTGTTTCCTAATACTGTGATTCACACTCAGGTTTGAGACCCACTGGCTGGGCCTTAACCTCCAGAGATTGGTTTGTTTAGTCTGGGTATGTAGATGGACATGGACATCTTTTAGATGCCCCAGGAAAAGGCGGCCAGGATTGGGACAACTGACCTACACCTCCTTCAGTTTACCCAAGGACACTGAGTCTCGTAAGATTAATGGTTTTTCCAAGCTACTAGGTTTTATGCATGATTTCTTCTAATAACATGCAGCCAGGCTGGGACAGAGATGATACCAGAAACCAACTATTTCAACCTCCAATGTTATCTATTAGGGTTCTTTTTCCCCCCCCCCCCCCAATAATGTTAAAGGCTGTCTAATTCATTTTCATTCACTTTAAAACATGTATTCTCAAAAGGAAAAGAAATTGGTTCTTAGGGTGAAAAAAATAAGATAATGCAAATGGAATATAGCCCTCCAAAGCTAAGCATTACCCACTAAAATCTTATTCCTTAGTATTTTTATCATTAGGGAGGAACATAATTTAAAGTTAAATTTATTAATTAAACTTATTTTGAGTTTAATTTTTTCCTTGGGAGAGGGGGGTGATAATGGGAAAAAAAAGGTCGAGAAAAACTGCTTCAAGAGGGTGTATGGTTATATGACAATCCCACATTATTGTGTTCTATGTGCTGTGCAGTCATATTAGTAGCTATTTGTTACAAGATGTTTGGAACCAGATAATGTTTACAGTATAAATCCTGGCTGCTCTTTATGTTGTAATTTCACTCTCTCCACCATGAGCAGTAACAGAAAACACTCATCACCATCATTATTTTACTTGGACTATAGTAGAGAATTTAGCATATTAATGCATACAATGGAAAGATATATAAAATATTTTAAATGCTCAAAAATAATCCCAAATGTATTGTGGGGATGAATATCTCAGGGTAGGTAAACAGTTACTGAAATTATTTCCTCAAAGTCAGTAACTTTCTTTGATATCTACTAGTAAGAATAATGTGTTGGAAGTTGATTTCCAAAATCTCATTGGACTATGATAATGAGCATACACAATCAAGCTTAAGGCTGAATGATAAATACTGTCTCATGTATACTTTCAATACACATTTGATTTCTTTTAAAAAAATAAAGCTATTTTTCCTTAGACGTTTATTTTGTAAATGGCAAAGAATAATACATATTTAAGTGCTTACAAACTACTGTTGCTAACATAGAACCCCAAAATAAGAAGTTAATTATCCTTTTTGGGCCACTGAGGAGTGAAAAAAAAAAATCAATCAAGTCAGAAAGAAGTTCTAGTCCTACTTTTACTAGTATCTACCTAAAGTATATGGACAAGTTAACCACCTAACTTGACCTCAGTTTTCCCTATCTTGTCGAAAGAGGTTAGAATTTACTTCAAGTTTCCTTCCAACTTTATAACAGGGAAAGTCATTGATAATAATGAATGCCATTTTTCTTTTGGGCTGTAATTAGACTTTTAAAATTTTTATTTCACTTTTAAAAAGTGCCAGTGTTTCTAATTGGACATGAAGATTTAAAATCATCCAAAAATGGTACTATAAAAATTAAAAAGAGAATCTTATAAAAGAAAAGCTAGATCTTCTTAATAAAGTCATGACTAACAATGCAGGAAAATTGTGCAAATAGGCAGAAGGCTTAAGTTTAATATTAGCATACAGGCAAACATTCATAATCTAAAAGATACCCAAGACTAATGGTCAGGGAAGCTGGGATTTCCTTTGCCGGCCACTTGATCTCATTAGCCACAGTGGTCAAACAACTTGTCAGAATTTGGTATTTAGAATATTGAGGCAGCAGAAACTTCAATTGAACCTAGAATTACTTGTTTGAATGAAAAAAAAAAACTGGTTATTTTATATAACCAGCAAAAAATGGAATGTAAATCTGTCTCTTTGGATATAACTGATTGTTAGGATCACATGAATAGCTTTTTAAAAAAAATGATGTTGCAGTAGCATTTCCAGGCTCTTGATAACAAGGTTATTAGAGTTGGCTACTAGATCACTGCAAGGCTGAGATACATTTGAGAGCGCTCACCTGGTGTGGTCCAGTTGCTTCTCTTAAAAACTCTTGGGTATGGTCGTCCACATAGGGTGATTTCAAAAAGGTAAATTCTTGTTGGTCTCTAGAATCATCCTCAGAAATATGGTAAAAATGTAATAGCAATGCATGCTGACTCCTTACCAGGCTACTTTATGTACCTTATTTACTCCCTACAGCAACCATATAAGGAATGTAATTACTGATTTACAGATGAGGAAATGAAAATTCACAGAGGTTAGATTATATGCTCCTTCAAAGTTGTATGGTTACTAAGCAACAGAATCTATACATGAGCCTAAATTTGACCCCCAAAATCATGCTCTTTCTTGGTTGGCCAACTCTTCCAACATTGGATTTAGACTAATTCTTAGTCTGTCTAAAACTACATTTCAATTTAATGATCACCATGCTGGGACATGTAAGGGATTAGAAATGAAGACATGGGCTCTGTCCTAAAATAACTTGTAACTTTAAAAATATTAAAACAGAACTTACCTGGAAGAGTAAAATAGAGAACCAAGAGTCACAGGAGTCCTACAATGTGGAATGAAGTTTGCTCTGGAAGCCACAGATGCTAAAGGCATCAATAAGCAGGTCTACTCTTCATAGTCAAGTTCAAATGTTCACCTTGAATACTTAGCAAATTTCCCTCTCTTGTGCTGAGGAAACCAAAATGGAAAAGGAATAATGAAAACTGGTCCAAGGAAACTTAGTGGAATATGGGATATCTGGGCCTATAGAGAAGTTGGGTTATTACTTAAATTAACACCAACAGCACAGATTGCTTGACAATAGGTACCAGGCACCTATTCTCAGACTCATTAAAAAAAAAAAATTAATTTTACTTTCTTGGTATTTTGGCCTTGGTAGTTTCTTGGTAAAGATCAAAGCTTAACAAAGTTTAATACATTAGTGAGGGATACATTCCTAAGTGCCTGTTAAAAGGAATCACCATGTTGAATCACTGGTTGTACAGAAAGAACATTATGTCCATGAGTATGTAGCTGCAGTGGGCCTATTTACCATTTTCCAAGCAAAAAAAAAATCTTAGGAAGTTTGGTGGCTGTTGCCTCTTTTGTTAACCTTCCAGATGATGCTTACTGTGACCATTTGATAACTTTAGTAATTTCTCAACCTTATATTAACCTAGACAACATAAAACTTTATTAATTTTTATTTTGGTGAAAACAAGAAATACAGCAGACTGACAGATTTTACTTTTCCTTTGAGCACATAGAAGACAAAAGGACCCTTGTTAAATTTGACAGAGCAATTCTACAAGCACTTACACTGGTTAGGAACATAAAATATCAAGTACCACATTACTACTAGGGCAAGAAATACCAAAGAAGACGGTTATGTTTTTCTTCTTGAGATTACTTTCACAAGACAGCAACATTTGCACAATTTCAGACTCTTCAAAGATCACATTATTCAAATTCTATTTCTAAGGATAGAGCTATATACGAAGAGAGACCAGAACAAGCTGATATATAATATTCACAGAAGTCTTCATTCTGCACAGGAAACAAGTTTGATATTTTTGCACACATTCTCAATTACAAGCAAAAAAAAAAGGGGGGGGGCTGTAAATGTCAATTCTGCCAGCAAGCAAAAATAGAGAATAGGATTTTACTCAAACACAGTGAAATAAGAAGCAAATACCATCAATCTTCCACATATAAAAGATCACTCATAGAATAATAGAAAACATCTAGACTTGCATTTATGTGTATAAAAGTCTGGTGAATTCAAGGAGATAGGAAAAATTAGCGGGAAACCCTCTTCCAAGCATCCGCTTTAAATCACCACTGATCCTCCCACCTCTCCTGGGGAGAGCCTTGGGCCTTCCCTCTCACCCCTGAACCTGCAGGGTTCCAGGCTTCCCTGCCTGCCTTCCAAGGCCACTCCACAGCAGGCTCATTTGTTTGTGGGCTTTCCGTTTCTCCAGCTTAGAGCATGCTCCCCAATGCTCTGTATCCAGATTTCCCAAGCCCTGGGGAGCTTATGGCCAGGCCTTCGCCAAGAAAGGAGAAAGGGTAAGGGTGGAGGTCATCAGCACCACCATACCCCTCCAGCAGTAAGACAGCCCTGACACACTGTTGTCCCACCAACTAGAACTTGTCTGAGAATCCAGAGGCGCCACCTATCTCCTTACACCCTAGGAGGGAGACTTGGCACCTGCCCAATGCAGACAGCAGCCTGCTCCCTCTTTTGTTAGGGCAGAAGCAGGGAAGGAAATGAGGAAGCTGGGGACTGAGAGCCAAGGGCCAGGCAGTAGGATGGAGGCCCTTAGGACATCAGGGCTATAATAAAATAGTACAGAACACAGGGCTGACCCACAAAATGCTGCTTGGGGTTATTTCTAAGTGGTCCAAGGCCCCCACAAAGAATTGCCATCTTTAGAAAAGTGGAGTCAAACTAATTTTTGCTTGCTTTATATCACAACCTGCTGTGAGTCTTGAACCCATCTCTGTGAAGTGCTTCTGTCTCTCCTCCCAGCTTCTCAAACTAAAGATTAAAAAACACACAGGAGGTTTTGGTAAATAATGAGCAAGTTGGTCTAAAAGAGCACTGCATAACTAAACAGTTAAATAGGTCTCCCTTTGAAACATTTAGATCTTGCTAAAGGAAGTGGGGTGGAGGCATGAGGGCGGAAGAGGGCAATGAGATCTGGAGAATCTATTATTATACAGTAGCTTTCTCCCTCTGGATACAATCAAGGGGAGAGCACACTAAACAAAAACCCTGCTTTGCTAGTTTTGTCTCTGAACTGTAACTGCTGCTAAGGGAGGAGGGGGAGAAGAGGGGGGCTATGAGACAAGGTGGGAGGGAGAGAAGGGGGGGAGGAGGAAGAGGGGCAGGAATACATCGTCCTCAGTGCCCCAGCCTAGCAACTCTGTCATGCTTAGAATAGGTAAGGAAGGGGATGCCTAACAAAGTTTCCGAGATTAAGGGTGGTTTATTGGCCAGAACTCAGAAAGGTTGTTGGCAGGGACCCCCGTGCCAGCCTTGCTTTGGGCACTCACATATGACTGCCCAACCTTCCTGACAGCCAGTGGGTTTATGGGTAACCATTTGGAGGGGTTAACGGGAAGTGGGGGAGGGTCCTGTGTGCTGCCTGGGGGCTCAGTCCACAGATAGTTCCTGAAGAGGCAGGCAATGGTACGTGGACAAAGCTCATCCAAAAGACTGAAAACAGGTTTGGGTAGGCCACAGCCCAGCTTTCATACTCACCAGTACTTGGTCACAGTACAGTGACCAAAGGCATAAGAAGATCAACATGACACAGTGTACCTCTCATCTGCTACCCGGTTCAAGCCTATTAGCTACCCACCAGCCACCTGCTTATTCTGCCAGATAACCAGCAGGTTGGATGGCATAAGCCCAGGAAGGCAGCTGGGAACCAGTTAGTGGTAGCCTGGAATGTCCAGTTTGGGTTGATGGCTGGCATCATCTCTATCAGCTTCATCTTGCAGTGGTGAAGCTCAAAAGATCTTGCCACAGAGTGCCAAGTATAGGAGCACAGCCAGCATAAAGTATGAAGCCCAGCTAGTTATTTGCAAAGATATATATCAAGTTAACGTGTGGCAGCTCACCACTGGAAAACCTGGGGAAAGACCATCGTCACAGACAGGGCCCAAGGCATGCAGAGGAAGTCAGTGCGTATCTACGGTGTCCTGTGCTTGGCACAAAAGCAGTACAAGGCCATGCACTTGGAACATGTAACACTTTGCAGAACAGCAAGGAAGCCCAGAGGAAGAAGAGCATAGACATATAAGCGATAATCTTGCAACTGATTGAAGACTTAGAAGAACCAAAGAACAAAATAATCCGGTGTGAAGAGAAAGCAGAAGGGAGAATGCATGCTATTGGCTAAGCATAGGACCCAAGAGGAGGTGGTAAAGAAACGGTGCAGGAGCTTCTCACAGGCCAGGAGTTAGCCAGACTGGAACCTGAAGGCCCTGGGGCTGTCCACCGGCTGCCTTGCTGGGTCTCGAAATCTTCGGGGCCCCTCACCCATCAGGTAATATTGTAGGGGATTGGACCACAGTTCTCCTTTGATAATCTCAGCAATCCTGTCGAATTCCAGGAGGCTGTGGTCTGAGAACCAGTTGAAGAAACTGGGGATAGTGTTCCCTTCCCGGTTCCTGTGGATATGGGTCTGGGGGTCTTGGCCCCGGTGCCAGCGGATTGGAGTGGAGAGAGACACCACCCGGCCGGAGGATCTGCGCTCATATTCCTTGACGAGCGCCTCATTTCGGAAGTAGGGGTTGCTCTGAAAGATGAACTTGAATTTGCAGCCTGCTCTAGGGTGTTTAAGCTCCTCCACCTCCAAATTGATCATGTACCTCATCATTTCTTCATCTTGACCACTGATCATAGGTGACAGCTGGGGGTGGTTCCCAAAGGCAGTGACCCAGAAGCCAGGGATATTTTGGATAATAAAACTTCTGCGCTGCATATGGAGCCTTCGCATCCGGCCAAACTTGCGCTCCAGCTGAAGGAAGGCCCTGTCTGCCTGGGCATTTACGTTTAACAGCTCCTGATCGATCGCCTCCAGCGAGTCCATGGAGTTATTGGCCTTCGGGGTCCTAGCCCGCGCCTCCTCTTTCCCTCCTCCTACCACCTTTTTCTCCTTCTGTACCAATTTCTTCTCCTCCACCGCCTCCTCGGCTACTCCCTCCTTTCCCACTGCCGCTGAGATGGCGCACTTCTTTGTCATCCCGTCCTTGGCCTTGGCCCCAGGCATCATCTGAGACCCCAATCCCTCTGCGTCACAGGCTTCTGGTGCTTTCTCCCCAGCAGGGCCGCACGGCTCTCGCGGCTGACAGCCATTTTCCTGGCTATTGTCGGCAGCCACCGAGGGGGAGGCAGGGGCTGCGTCCAGTCCCTCTGCGGGAGGCCGAGCCTCTTTCTGGTCCGTTTTGGCTGCCGCCTCACAACCCCGAGCAACTTGATCGCCGAGCACGGGGCCACCGCCCGAGGGGGCCTGGGATGCGCCTCCCTCCGCGGAGCCGGCCACGCTGCCCTCACCTGTGTGCGCCATCTCCACCTCCACCTCCACCTCCACCTCCCGCGGCGCCTCCGCGTCCTCGCTCCGGCGCGGGTTTAGGTCCGGATGTGCCGGGGCTTGGTCGGGAGCGGCGGGGCCGCAGGTTTTAGCGACGGAAGGGTTGCTGGCCTCACCCTGACCGCTCATTTTGCTAAGACTCAGACCTGCAGGAGAGCGAGCCCGGTCCGCTGCAGAAGTGGTGCTCCGCCCCTCGCGCCACCCGCTCTCCCGTCTGGGAGGATGCTGCTATGGCAACCGGTGACGTCAGGACGGCAGCGTCCTACCTTCGCGCGAGAAATAACCGCTCCTTGAGATTGTGCTGGCCATCAAAGGTAGTCCATTGTCTTGATGTTACAAAATGTTTTTAGTTTCGTCGATCTGGAAGAGGTTTGGCTTTCATGAGTAGAGGCAGCAAACTCAAGCATGGGCGAGTTCTGTTCATGTGGGTTTTCTAAGGCTTTAGTGATTGTGTATTCAAGTCAGCTCATAGGGCTTCTCATGTACAGAGTGGGTTCAGCAACTCACAGGCCTTCCTTCTTTAATGTACAGATTCATGGCTATTTCCAAAGAATGGAGATGAACAGAGTTGGATGTTTAAGAAAAGTGAAGTGTTACTGTGTTAAGTGTGATCATTTAAATAATTAGGAGCAGCTGAAAGGGAAGCCTCTCATCCCAAGAAAACATAATAAAGGATCATTTCAATTTTCCGTACATATTTTAAAGTTTATATACTTTGGCCAACACCTACGAAGTAATTGGACAATATTTCCCCTTCACTGTGTAAGTAGAAAAATGTTGTATTTTCCTTCTTTAGAGGTGACTTAGATACACACGGGTGTGCAAATTCAGCCTTTAAGCATTACTGGAAGAAATGTAATCTCAGGATATTTTAATTTCTAAAATTATGCATATCATATGTTGCTTATCCTCAGATTATAATCTTAATCTAAAAAAAGTTCTTGCTTCATAATGCCTGTGGGCATGAAACCAGCAAATATTTGCCAAAATTGGCTTCTGTGATAATTCACTGCAGGGCAGAAACAATGATCAACTGTTTGCAGGCATTGAAGCTATTAAATGCCTTAATTAAAATATTTTAAGTAATATTTGAAATGTTAATGTTAAAATGTTTACTTAAAAGGTAAGAAAAGTTACTGTCTATTCAGGTCAACTCATGCAGTTCATTAGGTAGTGATGCCACTTGGTTTGTTGGGGTGTGAAAATACTGGTGTTAGTCCTTAGAAAAATCCAAGAAGGAAGGAAAACTAAAAGTTTGCATATGTTTGTTTAACATCTTAAATTCATATTAGAAAATTACTATGACTTGTTGAAGTAGAAACTCCACTACAGAGCACCCCATATTATGATCACTTTCAAAGAGGGGCTTAGAAGTGGATTCCCTTGTAATACCTTAATCAATAAAGAAAAAAATAATAAAAAAAGAAGTGGATTCCCTAAGAAGTAAGGACTTAGGGGAAAAGGAATTAGAGAGAAGCAGCAGTTATACTGAGATTTTTAATGAGGGAAGTAGTGCAGATTTTGTCCAACTAAGAATGAGGTGCTGCTAGAAAGACAATACAATCCTTCACAGTCATAGTTTAGCTCACAAAGGTTTACCAGAGAATTCATAAACCATTTTTTTTACCCCTAGTCAGCCTGCTAAGGACAGACTGCCCAGATGACTACTGCCAGCTAATCAGTTACCCAATCAAAAATTGTGCAAACAGGTTTCACTCTTCCCAGACTACAATTAGTTTTCTCTCCCACTTTCCTCTTTCTTTTAATAAATCCCATTTTTGCTTTTGTGGGGTAAAATCAATCTACTGATTTATCCTCTATGCAAACAAGTAAACAATGTGCTGTAATTAAGTGACTTTGGGACTTTGAGTTATTCTTTGACACTACTCTGCCTTGTTTGTAGGTAAATATCTTATTTTGTTTTTATAATGAAAACAATCAACTATAGATGAAGCAGGAGCAGCAATAGTGTTTAGGTTCCCAAACCTTATTGTGCATCAGAATCACCTGGAGAGCTGGTTAAAACACAGTTGCTAGGCTCCACTTCCTGAGATTTTTATTTAGTAGGTAAGAAATAGGATTCTAGAATTTGCATTTCTAACAAGATTTTGGTGGTGGTGGTGGTGGTGGTGGTGGTGGTGGTGCTGCTGCTGCTGCTGCTGCTACTACTGCTACTGCTGCTGGTCTGGGAACCACCCTTAAAGATCCACTGCTTTAAGGTAATGGAAAGGAATTAGGTTGGAACTGAAAGTCAGAGAGAAGGGCCTGAATAAGGAAGGTCAGAAAAGCATCTTATAGGCATTTGAATGTGCAGAAATGGAGAAGGAAACTCAGGGAGATTCTTGACAGTGCCCCAGGAAATTATTATGATGTTAGTACTTCTTCAGAACATACTGTCCAGAGCATACTGAACTTATTTAGTGACAAGAGGATGACAGAACCTCTAAGTTTGTAAATTTAGGGAATCTCTAGAGAGATCAACTTTGGCCTGGAACTGAGAGAGAAAAAGTTAAAAAGTAATTCCAAGATTGGAATTATAAATGAAATTATACAGCAGCAAGAAGAATGTGCACATAAGTTCTTGCAAGTAGAGTTAGCAACTAGTATTTAAGCACAGGAGAGAAGTCAAGACACTGGAGATGTGCAAATGGAGTTCCAATTTTTTAGTTCCCAACAGTATTTTAAAATGTTATCTATTGAGGTTATAATTTACATACACTATAATGCATGGATCTGAAGTGCACAATTTCACAAATTTTGACAAATACATCTGTGTTATCATCATCCAAATCAAGATATGGAGCATAAATTCACTCATGTTTCTTCATTTATTCTCCCGAAACCTCAGGCAACCACTGTGGATTTCTATCACCACAGTTTCCCATGCTACTGAACTTCACATATACCAATTATATAGTTGTACTCTTGTCTGGCATCTCTTGGGAAAACTTTCAGAGGTATAGTGAAAATAACCTCCAAAGGGGGACAGGGCCCAGAGACTGAAGAAAGAGACTGACAACTCCAGAATTAAACAAGTTTAAGGGAACTTAGGGACAGAAGCAGACTCAGTGTGGCTCAGTGGTTGAGTGTCAACCTATGAACCAGGAAATCACCGTTCCATTCCCAATTAGGGCACATGCCTGGGTTGCCCGCTCGATCCCCAGCAGGGGGTGTGTGGAAGGCAGCAGATCAATGATTCTCTCATCATTGATGTTTCTATCTCTCTCTCCCTTCTTCTCTGATATCAATACACACACACACACACTCTAGAGGCCCGGTGCACGAATTCATGCACCAGTGGGGTGCCTCAGCCTGGCCTGCGGGATCAGGCTGAAACCGGCTCCCTGATATCCCCAGAGGGGTCCCAGATTGTGACAGGGCAAAGGCCAGGCCGAGGGACCCCACTGGTGCACAATCGGGGCCGGGGAGGGACACAGGAGGTTGGCCAGCCGAGGAGGGACCACGGGAGGGCTCCAGGGTGTCCGGCCCGCACGATCGGGGCAGGGGAGGGACACAGGAGGTTGGCCAGCTGGGGAGGGACCACGGGAGGGCTCCAGGGCATGTCCGGCCCATCTCGCTCAGTCCTGATCGGCTGGACCCCAGCAGCAAGCTAACCTACGGGTCAGAGCATCTGCCCCCCTAGTGTTCAGTGCACATCATAGCAACTGGTTGACTGGTCAACTGTCTGCCCCCTGGTGGTCAGTGCACATCATAGTGAGCAGTTGAGCAGCCTTACCATATCATTAGCATATTATGCTTTGATTGGTTGAACGGCCGACTGGGTGACCAGACACTTAGCATATTAGGCTTTTATTATATAGGATTTTTAAAAAGAAGCAAACTGTGGGACAGCGAGAAAGTAAATTTTCATGGAAAGTACTTACTAAAGAGCTCTTTTGTACAATCAAGCTAATTCTATTCTGTAAGACTACATGGGTTATATGGAGCAGATGTGCTGAGAGCCTACTATATTCCCGGTACTTCATCTTAGCTGGATGTTATAAGGTGGTAAATTTCTGAGTAAATGTAACAAAACTGGAGAGTGGGCATTCCCTCATTTGAGGAAGAAGGGTTATCCATGATTCTCAAACTTGTTTGCACCTTAGGGTCTAATTTAGTTGGTTTGAAGTAGAGCCTAGGCATCAGGATTTTATCAAAGCTCCCAGCTATTTATAATGGGCAGGTTTGAAAAATATTAGGCTAAATGACTACTGATCTAAACGTAAATTAAATGAGAAATTAAAACTGAGAGGAAGGTAAATGGGAGTTAAATATTGATTACATATTATATGCCAGGAATTGTGGTTGGCATTTTTACACTCTAACCTTTAACAACTAGAGGCCCAGTACACAAAATTCGTGCACGGGTAGGGTTCTTAGGCCTGGCCAGCGATCAGGCCAATCAGGTTCCCACCTCCCTGCCTCCCCACCTCCTTGCCTCCTCCTTTCCTTGCTCCCTCCATGCCCCGCCGCTGGTCGCCCGCCATGTTCTGCGCTGCCCCCTGGTGGTCAGCACACATCATAGCGAGCGACCGAACTCCCAGTCTCCTGGTGAAACTCCTGAGGGGATACTTTGCATATTAGCCTTTTATATATATAGACTAGAGGCCAGGTGCATGAAATTTGTGCACTCGGGGTGGGGGGTTGTCTCTCAGCCTGGCCTGTGCCCTCTTGCAGTCCAGGAGCCCTCGGGATATCTGACAGATGGCTTGGGGAACGGGCCTAAACCATCAGTCGGAAATCCTTAGCGCTGCTGCAGAGGCAAGAGAGGCTCCCGCCACCGCTGCTGCGCTCACCAGCCGTGAACCCAGCTTCTGGCTGAGTGGCACTCCCCCTGTGGGAGTGCACTGACCACCAGAGGGCATCTCCTGGCGGTCAGTGTGCATCATAGTAACCGGTCATTCTGCTGTTTTGTCAATTTGCATATTACCCTTTTATTATATAGGATGTTAGTACTTTGAATCTTTTAGCACAGTGCCTGGCACATAGCAAAGCTCCCATGTTTGTTATCATCATCTTAAAACATTATAACGCATTCTTCAAATACAACCTAGGAGAATATCAACTTATAAAATAGATATTATCATCCCTGCATTGTGAACAAGGAAACTGAGACTCAGAGAAGGTATTTCTTTTGCCTAATGTACTTGGGGGAAGATTCTAAAACTGTGATTTAATCCCAACTTAAAGCTAGTGTGTTTTCCCTGTCTCTTCAGGCCAGTAGAAAGACATCTGGGTATTTATAATAATTAGCAGCTTATTTAAGTGACCGTTTTCATTATTTTTTAACTTTTTTCAAAAAATGTTTTCTTTATGGATTTTAGAGAGAAAAACAGAGGCCCCTTTTCGTTTTTAATAGAACCGTTTCTTCCTGGCCTGTTCTCAAGAAAGTTACATTAAATGCAAGTACTGAGAACATGAAGCCAAAAAGTAGACATTGTTTTCCTAATTTGATCTGATGGAAATTCTTCAGTGGGTCTTAACAAATTCTGAGGTCAAAGGAAATGGATCAAGGTGGCCCTTCAGAACTGAAACAAAGCACTTCAATCAAACATGGAATTAATAATTAATACTAATTAATAAAGATTATATCTATTATTTCTATATAGTCTAGGCACTTCAATTATAAATTAACATGGAGAGAGAAGTTGGCCCTGAGGGGATGGTCCTCCTCTTGACCACATAAATCCCATTTTCTTGTGCATGTGACTGGTTGGAGTATGTGATTTGCTCGAGAAAACATCCAAGGAGTGATATTCCCCCAATGAGATAGAGTTCTTAAAGAGCAAGGACAATATCTACATTCCATATAATCCTTAATATAGTATCCAATACAAAATAATAATTGCTGTTGCAGCAATTAGCACGCTAATTTTTAACAATCAAATATGCTTCTTCAAGTGGTGAGCATTGCATTGACTTGATGTAATGCTAGATTCAGATTTTTTTTTCTGTTGCTGGCTAACAGCTAAAACTTGCAGCCCATGTAACATACACAAAATGATATACACATTGTATACGGGAAACGTATTTATACGTTTTACGTTGACTGGTAAACACAATTTCCAGTGAGTTTTCCAGTATTTGTCTGTTTAACATTTAAGAAAAATAATTCAGTATACATTTTATAGTAAATCACAAAAAGTTTCATTGAAAAAAAAATATGTAAAACTAAAGTTATAATTTTACTGAACGTTGCCATTTGCGCAAAAAATTAGCAAAAACGGCCCGCATACAATGTTAATGACTGAAATTACTTTTATTTTCTGAGCTTCATGTAAATCTGTAAGTCAAAAAGTACAGAATATTTTATTCTTGAAAAATATGAAGCTATAGGTCCTAAATATCACTAGAGACTGAACCAATATAACCATCAGTGCCAATTTGGCACCCAGATCTACCTTATTTATATCCAGAAAAATAGTTTTACACAGTACGTTTTGCAAAGTATTGGATATATCTTAGAACAAGATTATAAAAGGCATTTCATTTCATTATCCTTTTTACCCACTGGCCTCTAGTTATACTTTACTCAACTTGAATTTAAACTAGATAAGCCTTGTCCTAAAGTCACAAAAAATTTCATGGGGAGAAAGAATAACGTTTAATTTTTAGATATTTTTATATACTTTGAGATACTCAAGAAGTCTAGACCCATGCTGTCCCATGTCATTTAAAATTTTACCAGTAGCCACATTTAAAAAATGGAGAAATTAACTTATAATGCATTTATTTAACCCAGTGTATCAAAAATATTATTTCAAATGCAATCAACATAAAAACTTAAGATAATTTACATTTCTTCCAAACCACGTCTATGAAATCCAGGGTGTATATTATACTTACAGCAGATCTCAATTTGGACTAGCCACAATTAAAGTGCTCAATAGCCATTGATGGCTCGTGGCTACTGTATTGGACAGCACATGTCTAGAGTGTAACAACCTTCAATCTCCAGGTGAATAGTCACCTTAAGATGTACAAAAACAAAGCACATAAAAGTTGATCCAAAGTTGATGCTCTGTTAAGATGGCAAGTGAAAAGTTAATAAATGTTAGTGTTTGGATTTTTTTCTAATTTTTGCTTTTATTTAATAAAGGCCTTGTAAATTTTTTGACATAAATTTTACAAATACCTTGAAAACCATTTTCTTCTATTCATTACCTCATCAAGTCTTTCTGGGTCAAGTATGTCAAACTCAAAGGCTAACACAAGCCAAGTAAATAAGGTTTAAGTTTATGTGAGCCACAAAAAAAACAAAAGCTTCAATTTTCATGGAAACACAGGTTTATTTAGATATTTAAATAAACAGTTTTATTTAGCTGAATGCAAAGGGCTGAAATAAATGAGTAATCGTTAACATAAAACAATAGAATATTTTAATAAAAATTAAATTTTTCTTGAACATTAACTTACCAGACACTGAGTAACTACACAAATAAGTATAACACAAATAAACCTATTTTTCTTGTTCTCTGAAAGCGAAATATTTCCTGTTGCACACACCAAATAAGTCAGTACAAGACAAATGACGTGGCAATCGGCTGCTAAAATATTCGCTAGTATTAGTGGAGAGAAATGGCATACGGGAAATGTATGTAACAGGATTAGAGTAGTCAGTCATTAGTGAACGTTGTAGTTTGTTATTAATAATTATGCATAACAGGATATTGTATAAATTAAGTTACAAACTTTTATTAAAACATTCCTTACATACCATTATATTGGCTGGGCCACAGAAGTATTCCTTGTGGGCCACATGCGGCCTGCCAGCCTCGTTTGACATGCTTTGCTGGGTACTAGGTTGTTTCTTTTCTCCATTTGTTATTTTGTCATCCAGTATTTATCTGGTGACAACTATGTACATTAAGCTAGATGCAGTGACAAAGGTAAAAACATCCTTTCCATCTCTGCTTTCACAAAACTTCCAAACCAGAAAGGGACAGTGAAAGACATGGAAATAAATCTTTGTCACTCTGCCAATTATTTGTTTCCGTATCAGTCTTTGCCCAGTTCTTTAACAATAAATGGAATGCATTCTCTCTTCTTACACTTGTTATCTTCCTGGGGCCTGACAGATGCCTTAACAAATGTTCATGGAATTCAATAAAATGAATTACTGTGTTATTTTCTAGAACAGAGACTCCTACAAAGTACACCAAGTACATAAAAAAGAGTTCTATCTTCCCTAAGGGGAACAGAAAAAGTGTAAAACAGAAGAGTTATTTTTGACAGGCCTTGAAAGATCTGACAGAGATAGAAGGTGGTGAGGTTTGAAGAACAAACAAGTTTCTACAGCTGAGAAAGTATGGGATAGAAGAGTATATCACTTATGATAAGAATTCTCTGAATGTGTGCTTATTAAATGCACAAATGACTAAAACTAGCCTGAATGACCTGAAACTATTATCTATATAGACAAAAATGGAAGCTTTAAGTGAAGGTTGGAGTGGAGTAGGGGTGCTGCACAAAGTGTATGGGGAAAAACTGACATCATGAATAAGCAGTTGCAATTGTTGACATTTTAAAGTAAACAAAAGGAACATCCCTTCCTACCTTTCAAGGTGTAGTAGTGTGCCATATTTTATTTACTTTTGGATAATGCCTGTTGTATTCATTTAAGAACTTTATTAAATTCCATAACCTGTTATCTCTAATAATTTCTTCAAGCATGTTTGTTGACAGGGTGAAAAATAGGAACTCTTAACAGAGAAACATACTTTTATTTTCCATCATGCATATATGTTAATGGTACACTTCCAATGACAGAGCAATCTCCCAAGTACTTAAGCTAAATTGTTAATAAGTTGTTACCAGTGCAAATTATCAAGCAAGACAATCATGCCACACTGTTTTTGCAGGTTATTTTTCCATGAAGACAATAATTTCCAAAGTCTTAATAATCTGACAAGATCAAGTTATTTATATTTCTAAGAATGCAGTTTTGACAGAAACAAGAACAAGTTGAAAACCATTAGGAATATTCATTTAAGTCTCTACATCGTACTGTACTGGAAAGATTGTTATTTTTCTAAATGTTCCCAAACAAAAGCAAAGAAAGCTTGTATAACTCAATTTTCCTAGTAAGCAAAAACAGAAAATAACAGGCTTTTACTAAGTATTAGTGAAGTAAAGGACACAGTATTAATCTACATAAATTAAGTCAAATGAAAACGAGAAAATACCCAAAGTTGTATTTCTTTAAATAACTCTTCTCACCCTTGCCAGTGTGGTTCAGTGATTAGAGCGTAGGCCCAAGCACTGAAGTGTTGTCAATTTGATTCCTGGTCAAGGTCAAGGGCATGCACCTGCGTTGCAGGTTTGATGCCTGCCCTGGTTGGGGTGTGCAGGAGGCAACCAATCGATGTCTCTCTCATGGATGTTTCTTTCACACCCCTCTTCCTCTCTCCCACTCTCTCTAAAAATCAATGGAAAAATTATCATTGGGTGAGGGTTAACATAAAAAAATCCTGGCCAGTGTGTGCAGTGGTTAGAGCACTGACCCACTACACCAAAGGGTTGTGGGTTCAATCCCCAGTCAAGAAAACATACCTGGATTGCAGATTCATTCCCGGCCCTGGTCGGTCAGGACATGTGAGGAGGCAACCAGTCGAAGTGTCCCTGGAAATCATGGAGAGCCAAATTAACTACAAGATCTGCTTTTGCAGATGTTTCTAAGCTTTTTTTTTTCTTTGAGATAAGGGACACACAGAGAGAAAGTGTACTGCTATCCTGACAATTACTTCAGGATGAGGAAAGAAGGTACAAAGAGGTACCTAAGTTTTGTGTGAATTCACTAGTTGATGCTGAGAAAGCCTGGACACCATCCTTATACTTGTCATGAGGACAAGATCTAAACTGTCACCTCAACCACTTCCCTGAAGTAGGGCTATTGGATGATGGGGATCAAGGGAAGATGGGGTGAGGAACTGAGATGCCTTTTGGGTAGAGGAATGGAAAGGCTGGAAAGGAAATTTGTGCTAGCAGGAAACTTATGTCCACCACCAGTTCTGGAGATTCTGGTTCACCAGAAATCAGAGGAGCTGACAATGGTCTGGAAGATGTTCATCGAGTAGGCAGCAGGCTAAGTGAGTGGGCACAACCAGAGGTGCAAGGGGAGCAATGAAGTCACATAAGTCACAAAGACCAAGTGGCCCACTGCTGCTCTCCAGTGTCTCTGGTTGCTTTATTTTCTGCAAAAGTCCACAGGCTATATATGCCTGCCCAGCAGAGCAGAGTGGGTAGAACAGGCCTCTAGACAAAGCTAGAATCCCAGGTGGTAAGAACCACCACACCAGAGGCCCTGGAAACAAAGAGTCCAAGCAGTGCAGAAAAAGGCAGTGAAATTTACAGCATATTTACTTAGCTCAGCAGTAGTGTGAGTCATGGCCTTGCAGAATGTGACAGTAATGCAGAACAGCATGAAGGTTGCATATCAGTGGAAAAGTCAGGCTGTGTAGAAGTGGAGAAGCATGGCCATGAAGGTCTCAATCTTGCGGTTGAGTAAACAAATGTCCAGAGGAAAAAGGTCTTAGAAATGTCAGGGGGAAAAACAGTAGAAGGTATACCCCTTTCCGTTGCTCAAGCACAGGTTTCAGCAAGCAGTCAGGGGACCTTGTGCAGAGGTAGTCCCAAGGACAAAGTTTAACCAGACTGGAACCCAAATGGCCTGGGTATCTCCACTGGTTCCCTTATCGGGCGCCGTCTGGCTCTACGGACTCCTTCCCGCAGCAGGTAGTACTGCAGAGGGTTTGGCCACAGGTCCTCTTTGATGATCTCGGCAATCTTGTCAGACTCTGGAAGGCTGTGGTCTGAAAACCAGGTGAAGAAATTGCAGACGACGTCCTGGTTTCTGCGAATGAAGGACTGGGGTTCGTGACCCCGACGCCACACGATGGGAGTGGAGAGAGACACTACTCGGCCGGAAGCTCTGACCTCGTACTCCTTGACGATCAGCTTGTTTCTGAAGAAGGGGTTTCTTCGGAAGAAGAACTTGAACTTGCAGCCAGTTTTCGGGTGTCTGAATTCCTTCACTTCCAAATGGGTGATGTATCTTAACATCTCGGCATCCTGGCCCCTGATCATGGGGGACAACTGGGGGTGGTTCCGGAAGGCGGTGACCCAGAAGCCCGGGATATTCTGAATGATGTAATTCCGCCGCTCCAGGTAGTGCCGGCGCATCCGCCCGAACTTCTGCTCCAGCTGCTGGAAGGCCCGGTCAGCCTGGGCATTCACCGTGTCCAGTTCCTGCTGGATGGCCTCCAGGGGGTTCATGCGGAGGTTCACGCGGAAATTCACGTTCAGGGGCCGGCGCCGTGCCCCCTCCATCACCTCCTCCACCGCTCTGTTTGCCTCCGCCACCGCTCTGTTTGCCTCCGCCATTTCTACTTCTTCGCCTACTGGCTTCTCCTCTACCTCCACCTCCTGCTCCATTACTCTCTCCTCCTCCTTTCCTTCCTTTTCCACCATCGCCTCATCCGCGGCCTTCGCCTCGGCCACCTCCTCAGCCCCCGGCCTCTCGGCGCCGGCGCCGCGCAGTTCCCCAGGCCGACAGCCATTGTTCAGGCCGCGGTCGGTTGCCATGGCCACAGACTCGGCCACCGGGGCCCCGGCGGGGGGCGGAGCCTGTTCTAGCTCCGCTTCAGGCGCCCCGAAACTGCGACCCCCACCGACTCCGAACTGGGGGGCATTGCCGCAGGCCGCAGGGTCCTGCGAGGCTCCCTCCTCCTCTGGAAGCTGGGCCCGTGGGGGCGCGACGGCCTCCAAGCTTCCCTCCCCGGACTCCGCCATCACCTGTGCCGCCTCGGTTTCCTCACGGAGCTTCGGGCCCTGGTGTGGGTCGGGGGGTCCGGTGGCACCGTCGGGAGCATCGGGGCTGCAGGGCTGGAGGAGAGGGGCCCCCTCGGCCCCATCCAGGCCGCTCATGGTGGTGGTCGTAGCAGCCAGACCAACCGTAAACTAGCAGCCGCTTTCCTCACAGAAGCCGCGGGCGGTGTGAAGCGGAGTCTAGCACCGCCCACTCTCCGGTCTCGTCTCGCGAGGGTCTCCGTGAGGGTGACGTCACAGCTGCGGAGCTCACCGCGCGACTTCGCTGCGCCTGTGATTGGTGCCGCTGTTGCCAGGTGCGAGCGTGTTCTCCGTCTCACTTACAGGAAGTGTACGATAAATTGACTTACATGTAAGTAAATGTACCAAGGACTCGAAGACCGTAGGCGCTGAGGGCCCTCCCCACAATGCACCTGGAACCTGCCTCCAGCACATACGCTGGGGTAATTGTAGGGGCCACAGTGCTGCACTGCATACTTTGTATAAACACATGTTTCTCTGGTTTTCGGTATTTCTTAGGCAGGAAGGTAAGTCTGTTCCCTGTTACTCCATCATGTCCGAAAGCAAAAATCTTCTCTGTATTTTTAAACCAGGATGAATCGCAGATTGTTTCCCTTTTCTCAAAGGAGAAGTGACATGAAAATATCAGTACCCGCCTGTAACATCACTGGGAGCGCAGGCCACTCGGTGATGCATATTACTCCTTGCTCATCCTAAATTTATAATCTGCATCGAAGAACTTGTGCTGCATAATGTCTGCAAGGATTAAGCCACGATCAGTTTGCTAAGTCTTGCTCAATGGCCCCTCACTGTAGAAAATAGAAAAGCTATTTCCAGCCCCAGAAATGACTAATCTGTTCACAAATTTAGTTCTGCAAGAAGATTAGAAAGTTTGGCTGTAATGAAGTGTGTATTCATGGCAATCAGCTCATGGAGTTCCTTTAAGAGTTATGCCATTGTCTCTGGTGGTTTTATTTTCAGATTGTTGACTTGTGAGGAAAACCAGTATTAGAGATTCCCAAGGCCTCGGAGAAAGACCACCTGCCACCATTTTAGGAAGAAAAGCCAGAATGCCAACCTGTAGTTAGTTGAAGTGTAAAAGAGGCAAACACTTTTTTTCTTTTTAAATATATTTTATTGATTTTTTACAGAGAGAAAGGGAGAGGGATAGAGTTAGAAACATCGATGAGAGAGAAACATCGATCAGCTGCCTCCTGCACACCCCCTGCGGTGGATGTGCCCACAACCAAGGTACATGCCCTTGACCGGAATCCAACCTGGGACCTTTCAGTCCGCAGGCCGGCACTCTATGCACTGAGCCAAACCGGTCAGGGCCAAACACTTTTTTCCTATTTTCTTTGCTTTCTATGGTAGGCTGAGTAATGGCTCCCAGAGATTTCCAACTGCTAATCTTCAGAGTCCATGAATGTGTTCTCTACCCGGTAAAGCGACTTTGCAGATATGATTAGCTTAAGGGTCTGGAGATGGATGATTATCGTGGATTATCTGGGTGGACCCTGTGTCCATATAAAAAGGAGGTAAGAGTGTCAGTCTGAGAAGAGATGATGACCAAAGCAAAGGTGAGAGAGAGAGAGAGAGAGAGAGAGAGAGAGAGAGAAGGGAGAGATTTGAAAATACTATGCTGCTGGCTCTGAAGATGGAGGAAGGAACCAGGATCCAAGAATAAAATGCAGCCTCTAGATAGAAGCTGGAAAGGTAAGGAAACAGATTCTCCCAAAGAGCCTGCAAAAGAAAGCAGCTCTGCCATACCTTGATTTTATGATGCCTAACCTCCAGCACTGTAGGTTAATTACTTTGTGCCGGTTTAAGTTATTAAGTTTGTGGAAATTGTTACAGAAGCAATATGAGATGAATACTCCTTGAGTTGAGATTGTGTATTGCATCTGTGTGTGCCTCCGGTTTTTCCTAGTAGCAACCCCTTCGCCCTGTGAGGTCCTGCCCAACAACTTGATTTACCATAGTTTGAGTTTCTTTTTGGTTATCGAGACCAGAAATTTACTTATGCAATATATAGAAAGACAAATTTAAAGCCAAAATCTACCACAAAACATTTTTAAGAAGACCTCAGGTACTTATGTTTTTGTTTACCACCGTTTACCTAGTGCCTAGCACACTGCACAGCGTTGCATAGGTTATTAGAATTTTAATAAAGGAACAAGTGAATAGTGTGCCGTGCCAGCTCAGTCAAGGGTTCAGTGAGCCTGAAGGGGGGCGGCGAAAGACAAAGAGAATAAGCTGCGTCTAGGACTCTAGGTGGATCTGCTGTGCCTGACTGAGGCCACAGAGAGAGACCCAGACAGCACGCTGAGCCTTTATTTTATGGCCAGAGGTAAACAAGGTAGTGGTCACCATAGTTACAATGTTCTTGTGAGCTTCACTTGTTTTGGCAGCACTTGCTGCACCTCCCACAGCCCATTAGCTACCCAGATAAGATCTAGGGAGCCTCAGAAGGTCAAGATTAATTATGCTAAGAGGGCTGTGCCCTGTAAGCTGGGACTTGTTTGTGGCTGTGCCAACCGGTTCAGTCCAGAGGCTTAACCCTGTAGCCGCTCCCTACAGAATAGAATACAGTTTCTCCTGCCTGCAGCTTGGTGCTTGTAGAAATAAGGGGCATTCAGATTTCCTCCCTGCTTTCCTCCCTACCTGCCACCAGGAAACCGGAGGGCTTCTCTTTCTCCAGGAAGAAAGTCCTAGTCAAAATGAAATTTGTGTATATGCATGAGAGACTATGGAAGCATTAAAAAAAAAACACACAGAAAAAAACAGTTTTGTTTTGCAAATAATTTACATTTGTGTGGTCACACTGTATGACAAACTCTGGTTGGACCGACATATTTAGGTGAGTTTACATAGCAAAGCCTCAAACTACCAACACTGTATTTCCGATTCTTTAATGCTTCCTGAACAAGCCAAGGTAATGATTCCAGGCCTTAACTTCACTTCTCTCTGCAAGAAATGGATATAGATCCTGTGATGCATGGCTGAAATTACTTTTGTATAGATAAGAATGAATAATGGAGCACAGCTGGTGTGACTCAGTTCATCATCCAGTGCACCAAGATGTAGCAGGTTTGATTTCCAGTCAGAGCACATGCCCAGGGTGTGAGTGTAATTTCCCCAGCGGGGGCCATGCAGGAGGCAGCCAATCGATGTTTCTCACTGATGTTTCTATCTCTCCCTCTCCCTTCCTGTCTCTCTAAAATCAATAAAAACATATTTTTTAAAAAGGAATGAATAATGGAATTTTCCACAAGGCCCACTTCTAATTGCCATGAAATTATTCTCAGTCTTGGAACTGGAATAATTTAATTTGGCCTGAAGTGGAAACTTTTTTACTCTAATATGCCTTCTATTTTTAAGCAGAAGACAGTGCCAGGCTGTGACCAGTCCTAGAAGACATCTTTATTTGTCAAAGTCACTATTATGTTGTCTACATAATGTTATCCTGTTATTTTCTCTGTTTCTGCTTACTGGGAAAATTAATGCACTAACTGGTAATGTTAGGAAAAACTCCAGTGATAGATGGTACATTGGTGAGTAATCAGGACTCTGGTGAGTGTAATTTCCCCAAATAGTATTGAGACATTTTGGAGAAATCCTTCCTTCTCATATTGTCCTTCTATCACTGGAATAGCTGTGATATGGAATATTTGATTGACTTTATACAGAAAATGAGGAAAAATAATTTTTTTCTAATTTTAATTGTCTGAAAATCACAGTAGAGAAGTGATTGTGATTATATATAACTCTTCATTGTAGATGATGGTGAGCCTAGGTTATGATCACTTTTAAGTAAGAGAAGGACCAGTGAGAAACAAGGATTGAGAGGGGAAAACAGATAGGTGTATTTTAGGCCTTTTTTTTTTTTTTAATCTTCACCCGAGGATATTTTTTCCATTGATTCTAGAGAGAGTGGGAGGGATGAGGGTGGGAGAGAGAGAAAGGGATAAACATCCCAGTGAGAGAAATACATAGATTGATTACCTCCCACACGCCCCCTACTGGGGATCCAGCCTGAAACCAGGCATGTGCCCTGAGCGGAAATCAAACTGGCAACCTTTGGTGCACAGAACGACATCCTACCAACAGAGCCACCTTGGCCAGGGCCATTGCATCATAGTTTAATTGGCAATGTTTGTTGTTTTTTTTTCCTTCTTGGTGATATCTAAATAATACTATATTTTATAACTGGTGAAATTAGGTGAAATGCCATAATTTTCTTCCTGGAAAATTCATTGAGTAGTAAAACTGTAAACATTTTGTTTTTATATGTAAAATGATGTTAAGTTTCAAGCTCAGATAAATAAATACAAGTGGGTTTTCCCCCTTGGAAGTGGAGCAATATTTTGTTGATGAGGACTTAATGCATTCCTGACCCTACCTAATGAAAGCCAATAAAATCCCTATTCTTTGTAATAACCAAAATATATTTCCACTAATTTCCAAGAGACCCCCTAGAGAAGGTATAGCTCCTGCTGGGAATCTCTTTTAAATACTTGGTGGGTATGGTATTCTCATTGGTTCCAGTAGATGGAGCAATTGGTCTTTAAGAAAGTGATATGTCTAGTCCAGCGGTTCTTAACCTGTGGGTCGCGACCCCTTTGGCGGTCGAACGACCCTTTCACAGGGGTCACCTAAGACCATCCTGCATATCAGATATTTACATTACGATTCATAACAGTAGCAACATTACAGTTATGAAGTAGCAACGAAAATAATTTTATGATTGGGTCACAACATGAGGAACTGTATTTAAAGGGCCAGAAGGTTGAGAACCACTGGCTCTAGTCTATGATGGAAGAACTTTGAAATAATCTTTCACTATAAATGAAATACTCTTATAATTTAAATTGAATCAATATTTTATTTCCACTAACCTGTAATTGTTACAAAGTCATTTTCTCAAGCAGATTTAGGTTTGTTATGATGGTTTCCAATAATCAAATCAAGCCAAAATATCAAATGATCCTGCATGCTCCTGTGTAGACTGGAGTCATGGACCTAGTTTCAAGTTTGAGCTCTGCTGCTTATTACCTGTTTGACCTGAGCAGGTCACATAATCCCTCTGAGCCATAATTTTCTCATAGTAAAATAGAGATTAAAATACATACTTTATAGGCCTATTAAGAAGATAAAATAGCCGAAACCGGTTTGGCTCAGTGGATAGAGCGTCGGCCTGCGGACTGAAGG